ATCGCTAGTTTGTTGGCTCTGCGCTGCCGTAGCGCAAAGATGTCTGCCTCCATGGCTGCGAGACCCGCTCCTATGTAATTATAAATAATAATAATTAAATGTTGAACGTTTCCCACAGCCTGAAAACTGCTTGTTTATGCAGCCAAATGCTTCACATGTAGGCATTTTTACTGCGTGTGTCTGTGGGAGTGGGGAGTACCAATATGGTGGACGGTGGCTTCACTTTTTTCAGGCTATCAGCAATCCAGTGATTAAATATTGATCAGTGAGCTGATTTATCCAGTCTCTAGAAAGCTCGACCTCCCTGCTCCAGTCTCTCTGAGAGAAATGTTCCTGTTTTAGCAGCTTTAAATGGGTTATTAGCAGAGGCAGCGTCCTAATGTAAGAGACAAACTGCTCTTTGATTTATCTCAGCAAAGATGTGGAGATGTTAATTTAATAAGGTAATGTGATGATTTGCCAGATGAATGAGGATTTCTCGCTTTAAAATAAGATCATTAGATATTAGAAACTTAAACTGATATAAATTTGTTATTTTTTCTTGTTTTTGTCATAAATAATCTAATCTAATCAGTCGATTATTAATCTTAGTTCATATTGGACCTTTAATAGGAAAGATTTGAACCAGAACAGGCAGAAGGAAGCAGTTCAGAGTCTTTGTTGTCCCACCTGTGCTCCATCCGTCGTCTTCTCCTCCTTCCCTCAGTACCGCGTGGAGTCCATGATGCTCCGCGTGGCCAAGCCTCTGAACTACATCCCTGTGACGCCCAGCGTGCAGCAGCGAGCTCAGCAGAGGGCGCCGCAGTGCATCCCTCTGGTGATGGAGCCAGAGTCCCGCTTTTACAGCAATTCTGTGGTGGTTCTGGACTTCCAGTCGCTGTATCCCTCCATCGTCATCGCCTACAACTACTGCTTCTCCACCTGCCTGGGCCACGTGGACAGCCTGGGAACGTAAGGACGCCCCAGCAGCTTCCCCTCTGGATCAGTTTAGATAAATGCAGTCAGAAGCAGATGGATATCAACCTTTGAAAGCCTAGTTTAGGTTGTGGTCTCCTCAGATCAGAGTCATGCCTCTGTTCTCTTCTGCAGGCCTGATGAGTTCAGGTTCGGCTGCACGTCTCTGCGGGTTCCTCCTGAGCTGCTCCACCAGCTCCGTAACGACATCACAGTCTCTCCAAGCGGCATCGCCTTCGTTAAGGTATGGCGGCTTCCCCAGAGTGTTTGATGAAAATTTTGGGGTCTGACGCCTCAGGAGTTAACCTCCATGTGTGCTTGTGTTCAGTCGTCGGTGCGTAAAGGCGTCCTGCCCAGCATGCTGGAGGAGATCCTCAACACCAGGATCATGGTGAAGCAGTCCATGAAGACCTACAAGCAGGACAAGGCCCTGATGAGGCTGCTGGACGCCCGGCAGCTCGGACTCAAGCTCATCGCCAACGTCACCTTCGGCTACACCGCCGCAAACTACTCTGGGCGGATGCCCAGCGTGGAGGTGAGCCCATCGGTCCTGTTACAACATCAGGCTTTAGTAAAATAAGTATTGAACACGCCTCCATTTTTCTCAGTACATATACCACTAGAGGGGTTATTGACATGACATATTCACCACATGTCTGTAATAGGGGTGTAAATCACATCCATCATGGCGATTCGATTCAGTATCGATTTCCTGACCCAACGATTCGATTATTTTCGATACTCAAGAATACACCACGATTCGATGAATCGATTAATCGGTTAATTTTTTATTTATTATTATAATTTTTTACACCTTACAGACTAAACAAAGTTTCAAGTTTGAAATAAATCAATGAAAGCTGTAATATCGTTATTCATTTTTTTAGAAACAACAG